TAACTGTACTGCGATTCGCTTCACAACCGTGGCACGAACGGTCCTTTAAAAAATAAATAAATAACCGGGGCCAAATTCACCCACAGGTGCCTTTTTTGACCATGGAAATTAAGGGGGCGGGGGGGCCACCGGGGAGAAGGAGAAAAAAAATCTGTCGGTCGTAAATCGAGGACTACCCGCCATCGGCCAAAGGGAGCGCCGGGAGCAGAGCCTCCCCGTCCAGAGGCAGCCTATCTGCGCGAACGGAAGGCGCTTTTTCCTCCCTCCCCCCCCCCCCACAACTCCACCGCTCCTTTCGAGGCGAAAGAGAGAGAGAGAGAGAGAGAAAAGGGGGGGGGGGCGCTTACCTTTCACGATGTCGCACTCGACGACGGGCCCGAACTCCTGGAAGAGGACGCGGAGCTCTCCGCTGGTGCAGGCGGCCGAGACGTTGCCGACGAAGATCTTGACGGTGTGGGTGGGCCTCGGGCGGGAGAGCTCGACGACGACGCGGTGGCAGTGCAGCAGGTGGCCGTTGAGCTTCTGGATGGCGCGGTCGGCCGCCGCGTCGTCGCGGAGGTGGACGAAGGCGAACTGCTTCATGAGGGCCACCTTCAGCACCTCGCCCGGCACCGCCGCCTCGAAGAGGTCGCGAAGCTCTACCTGCGAAGCCTCCTCAGGAACGTTGCCCACGAACACCTTCACGCCCGCCTGCATGGCGCGCCCCGCGGGTCCTGAGGAGAAACCGGAGAAGGGCGACGCGAGAGGCGGGAAGAAAAGGGGGGGGGGGGGGGGGGAAAAAAAAAAAAAGAAGGCGAGGCGGCCGCTCAAAATGGCGCCCGCGAGAGCGACGCGCTTTCTGAGGGGAAAACGCGGGGGAGCGCGCCGACGCGCATGCGCGGAGCTAGGACACGCCCCCTTCCCTCTTCCGAGCGCGAGACGTCTCGCTTCGCGCTCCTGCCCGGCGCGAAACAACGCATGCGCGGTAAACACCCACCCACCCCCAATCTCCTTTTAAGGGATCCCGCGATTTCGTGCGAACAAGAAGCTTCGGGACAACTAAACCCGAAAGAAGCGTGGATTCACATCGGGGAAGGGTATGGGGAGTTTCTTAAAAGGAAAAAAAAAGAGGACACTTCATCAAGTCTCCGGAGAAGGGCGGCATATAAATCAAATTAAAAAAAAAAAGAAAAGATGCGCCACTCTAAGGGATTGAATAGCTCTATGTGACCCTGCAACTGAAACGGAACTGCTCGCCCTCCTCCTCCATCTTTTCTCACTGCGCTTGCGCAAACCGCTGTTCCCGCTTTCCATAGATATAAAAAGGGTAGAAGGTTGTTTTTTAAATCTGTAGTTGGGGCTTTTGGGACTTTTTTTTTTCTTACTTTCCTCCTTCCATGGGTTGGTTAATGACAGCTACCCTGTTTCCCCCAAAATAAGACATTCCCCTGATAATAAGCCCAATTGGGCTTTTGAGCGCATGGCAATAAGGCCAAGCACTTATTTCAGGGTTCAAAAAAAAAAAAAGACAGGGTCTTATTTTCGGGGAAACATGGTACATCAATAATGAAAATAAATTCGAAATTTCGACCTGTGATTATTGGACACTAGCAGCTCTCTTTCGATGCAAATTATCATTTGATGAGAGTTCTGCAATAAAAAAGTTGCCGTAGATAAAGAGTCAGAATGTTTGCCGAACCTTTCTGGTTTATCCTACGGCTGGCTGCCTATCGGAAAAGATTTAAGGCAGTTAATTTTGCAAACTTTTTAAAATAGATGGGGACTCCTGGGAGTTGAAATCCAGGCCTCTTAAAAGTGGCCACTTTTGCAGAGGAAAAAAAACCCAACAACCACTGGTTGAAAACATGGAGTTAGCTCTGAAAAAAACCGGCCACAAAATAAGTTAAGCATCACCATGGAATTTCTGAAACGGATATATCACACACACACACACACAAAAAAAATCCATTTTATGTATGCATTAAACCAGAAGAGACACAGCAGCTGCTTAAGAAGATTATATAATTTAATGGATGGTCAAAGAAATAAAAAGAACCAGAGGCACAGTTCAAATTGCACCACTGTCCCCAGACAGAAGCCTCGCGTGAAAAATCCACTCCCAAGCCCACCCTAATACACAACGGTTTTGTGGTACAGGTAGTCCTCGCCTTACGACCCCAACTGAGCTCCACATTTCCAGCATGAAACGAAAGCAGTCATTAAGTGAGCTTCCCCATTTTACCTCTCTTGTCACGTGGTTTAAATGAATCCCTACACTTGGTTAACTTTAGCGACACGGCTGTTAAGTGAATCTGGCTTTCCTCGTTGACTTTGTCGGTCGGAAGGTCGCAAAACGTGACCCCCGGGGACACTGCAGCCGTCATAAATGCGAATCAGTGGCCAAGCGTCTGAATGTTGATCGTGTTACGTGACCCTGGGGATGCTGCAAACGGTCTTAAGTGGGAACAATTGCTCACAAGTTGCTTTTTTTCGGTGGCGTTGTAACTTCGGATGGTCACTAAATGAATGGCGGTAAGATGAGGACTATCCGTCCCACTCCCCTACTTTCTCACGCTTTACACAGAATAATAAAGTTGGAGCACTTCTAGTCCAGCTCTATTTTACAGCAACTAAGGCACTGTCACACATATCCCAAGAAGTCCGTGGGCAGCCGACTTGGATACAGGAAATCTTCGACTTACGATCACAATCGAGTCTTAAAATTTCTGTGGCTAAGTGAGACGTTTCCTGAGTGGATTTTTGCCCCGTTCTACGACCTTCCTTGCCACGATTGTTAAGTGAATCACTGCTGTTGTTAGCGACACGGCTGTTGAGGGAATCTGGCTTTCCCGCGTTGACTTTTGCTTGTCATCGACGGTCGCCAAAGGGGATCACGTGACACGGAGACCGTCATAAATAGGAGCCAGCTGGAGAGCATCTGAATTTTAATTACGTGAATGTTGAAACGGTCACAAGTCACTTTTTTGAATGCCGTTCAGTCATTAGATGAATTATTGTAAGGCGAGGACTGCCTGTACTAACAATTTATGGTATTGTAGCAACCTCTGTTGTTATTGTTGTTGTTGTTAATTGCGAAGTCGTGTCCATCCCATCGCAACCCCATGGACCATGTTCCTCCAGGCCTTCCTGTCCTCTACCATCATCTGTAGTCCATTTAAGCTCACGCCGACTGCTTCAGTAACTCCAGCCAGCCACCTCCTTCTCTGCCGTCCCCTTTTTCTTTTGCCCTCCATCGTTCCCAGCATTCGGCTCTTCTCCAGGGAGTCCTTCCTTCTCCTTAGGTGGCCAAAGGATTTGAGTTCTTCAGATAAAGATGGGAGGAGAAAGAATGCCATCTCATATTGCCCCAACCTAACAGAGAAAGTTGCCTTTTGGGGGGGGGGGGAACTCTCCCTTTTAACCCTGCCAACAAAAGTGCGTATAGCCAAGGCTTATGGTGTTCCCAGTTGCAATGGATGGCTGGGAAAGTTGGACCACAAGGGAGGCTGAGAAGGCCAAAGGATGGAGGCCTTTGAACTCTGGTGCTGCAGAAGACTCCTAAGAGTCCCTTGGACTGCAAGGCCATCCAACCAGTCGGTCCTAGAGGAGATCAACCCTGACTGCTCTCTAGAAGGCCAGATCCTGAAGAAGAAACTCAAATCCTTTGGCCACCTAAGGAGAAGGAAGGACTCCCTGGAGAACAGCCGAATGCTGGGAACGATGGAGGGCAAAAGAAGAAGAAGGGGATGGCAGAGAAGGAGGTGGCTGGATAGAGTCATTGAAGCAGTCGGCGTGAGCTTAAATGGACTCCGGAGGATGATAGAGGACAGGAAGGCCTGGAGGAACGTTGTCCATGGAGTCGCGATGGGTCGGACACCACTTCGCAACTAGCAACAATAACTCCCTTTTAAACTACCCACTGCAATCTCACCAGCGTAAGCCTAATCTATGGCTGCGGACCAGATGTTTAATTTTCTTCCTTCCGTGCCCCGCACGGAAGGGGAAAGGCACTGTTCCCACAATCCTAAAATAGGGCCATAAGAAAGAAGAAGCAAAAGGGAAAAAAATAAATAAATCCCAAAACTTAAGGCTAAAAAAATTGTGCGTGTGTGGGAAAACCAAACCCCCAAAAAATCTAAAAGCGATGTGCTTTATTGGAATGTTTGGAGGTTTGTGGGGGGGGGGGGGGAGAAATCTTTCAAGTGCAGTAATGATCTTTTCCCGTGCCAGCAAAAAGCCGATTTGTATGTTTGTGTCTCTCTCCAGAGATACAAAAACACACACACAAATGCACGAACCTGCCTTATTTGGGGTCATTTCCGGGAGGCCAACTGAGATCTCCGTGCCTTAAGAGAATCGGTGAACCCCGCTTTGCAAACTCCAGAGTGGGGGGGGGGAGCACAGCAGCGGGCGTCCACGTCCTACAGATGAGGAGTGGGTTGTCCGGGAACGGCCTGGCCTAGCCTGCTCCCTGACCTTTCCCGCTCTTCCCAAAGAGTCACTCCGCTGCAGGTACATATTTTCTTGGGATTCTGGAAGAGGCCGGATGAGCGAGCAATGATTCCGCAGGCCACTCTGCAAAAAAAAAAAAAAAACAGGGAAAGGTCAAATCGTTTTTTTTTTTTAAACAAAAACAATATTTTTATCTAGGCCAGGGGTCAGTAACCTGCGGCTCTGGAGCCGCATGTGGCTCTTTCACCCCTGTGCTGCGGCTCCCTGTCACTCAAAATAGGCGTCACAACCGCCAACGTGCGACACCCGCCATCATGCGATTTATTGAGTTTTTCGACCCCCGGTAGGCCAACCACGGATAAATCCAAGAAAAGAAAAGTTTCAGAAGAAAACAGAACGTTTAATTCAACTACATAGGCTAGTTTTGTGGCCGCTCAAGAAATAGTCAGGCACGGGAAGGGTTTTGTGGCTCCCGGTGTTTTCTTTTCTGTGGGAAACGGGTCCAAATGGCTCTTTTGAGTGTTTAAGTTTGCACATCCCTGATCTAGACAGAAAGCTGGTTTAGAATGAATGACAGAATAACAGAGTTGGAACAGCAATAGCAATTATATACCGCTTCACAGTGCTTTTACAGCCCTCTCTAAGTGGTTTACAGAGTCAGCCTGTTGCCCCCTCAACAATCTGGGTCCTCATTTTACCGACCTCGGAAGGATGGAAGGCTGAGTCAACCTTGAGCCGGTCAGGATCGAACTGTTGGCCATCAGCAGAACTAGCTGCAATACTGCTTTCTAATAGGAAGGAAGGAAGAAGGGAGGGAAGGAATAGGAAGGAAAAGGTAGGAAGGAAGGATAATAGCAATAGCACTTAGACTTGTATAGCACTTCACAGTGCTTTACAGCCCTCTCTAAGCGGTTTACAGAGTCAGCCTCTTTACTGACCTCAGAAGGATGGAGGGCTGAGTCAGTCAAGATCGAACTGCTGGCAGTCGGCAGAGTTAGCCTGCAATACTGCATTCTAACCACTGCACCACAAGGGAAGGGAAGGGACCTTGGAGGTCTTCTAGTCTAGTCCTGCTCAAGGAGGAGACTATACCATTCTGGACAAATGGTGTCCAGTCTCATCTTAAAATTAGAAGAGCCTTGGTAGTACAGGGGTTTAAGGCACCCTGTTATTAAGCTGGTTATTAAGACCAGCTGCCTGCAATTACTGCAGGGTTCGAATCTCGCCAAGGCTCAAGGTTGACTCAGCCTTCCATCCTTTCTAAGGTAGGTGAAATGAGGACCCAGTTTGTGGGGGCAATAAGCTGACTTTGTATAAATATACAAAAGGATGAAGGCTATTGCTGAGCACATTGTAAGCCGCCCTGAGTCTTCGGAGAAGGGCGGCATATAAATCAAATTAAAAAAAAAAAAATCCTCCAGTGATGGAGCACCCACAACTTCTGGTGGCAAGCTGTTCCACTGATTAATTGTTCTCACTGTCAGGAAGTTTCTCCTTAGTTCCAAGTTGCTTCTCTCCTTAATTAGTTTCCATCCGTTGCTTCTTCTCCTGTCTCCTGGTGCTTTGGAGAATAGCTTCACTCCCTCTTCTTTGTGGCTGCCCCTCAAATACTGGAAGACTGCTATCCTGTCACCCTTGGTGATATGGATTTTCTATATTTGTTTTTCTAAACTAGAAGGAACTTATGTAACAGTTTAAAGTCCGAGAATCAACCCCCCCCCCCCAACTTGCCAAGTTACTGGTGATAATTCAAGGACTACCTGGGTACAATACAGGTAGTCCTCGACTTAAGACCACAATTTGGTCCAACATTTCTGTTGCTAAACAGGACATTTGTTAAGTGAGTTTTGCCCCCATTTTACAACCTTTTCTTGCACAGTTGTTAAGTGAATTGTTGAAGCTGTGAAGTTACTAACATCACTGGTTAACTGAACCTGACTTCCCCGTTGACTTTGCTTGTCAGGAGGTCACAAAAAGGATTCGCAGGACCCCCGGGACACTGCGACCGTCCTAAATATGAGACAGTTGTGCCAGGTGTCTGAATTTTAGTCACGTGATCCGCAGGGATGCGGCAACGGTTGTTAAGTGTGAAAAACGGCCCTAAGTCCCATTTTTTCAGTGCTGTTGTAACTTCGAACAGTCACTAAATGAATGTTCTGACCTCGGCTTCCCCAAAAAGCACGGAGCAGAATCCTGATCCCCACAAAACCCCTTTTATTAAACGAACGTGAATTCCTCTCATTCACCTTCAGGAAAGGCCTGGCAAGCAGTCTTTCAAAGGTGAATTTATGACCACAGACCTTATCTCGCTTGGAAAGCTGCCATGTAAATATTTTCCAAACACAAGGAAAGACGTGGCACAGAGTCCCTGAGATTCAGAACGAATTGTTTCCTGCAAAAGCCCACTCCCCTTTCACTCCTCTTTTATTTCCTATGGGAGGGGCCATTCACCGTCCATCTGTGGTTTTACTACCAAGTCGACCCTGATTTCTTAGCTGTTCTTTTCTTTTGGCAGCTCTGCGCATGCGCACATTGGGAACAGGCTCCAGCTGTTCCTCTGCCTCACTGCTGTTGGTTCCTATTGGGTAGTCTTCCAGAAAAGACTAGTAAGGAACACACTTATTTGATTATACATGTAATAACAGCTGCAAGAATTGTTTATGCTCAAAATTAGAAAGCAGAGAAAACACCTTTGGAAGATCAGGTGATAAAAAAAATTATGGACTGTGCAGAAATGAATAGATTGACTTTAAGGATTAAAGATAGGGAAGAGATAGAGTATTATAGAACATGGCACTGTTTCTATTATTGGTTGGAAAAGAGATATAAAAGATAAAAGCTTTATGATTGTATTTTTAAAATTTGATAGGCAAAATTTTGTTTTAGTAAGGAGATATTAAAATGGTTTGTATAAAGATCAAGATAGAAGGAAGTTCCTTTTTTGGAAGAAGAACGACTGAAGATAACACCGAGATGTCACAAGGAGGGGGCGTCAGATGTACTAAATGTTTGTTTGTTTGTTTTTAATTTGATTTATTTTGTTTTTATAAAAAATAATAAAAAGTTATATACAAAAAAAAAAAAGTTATATACTGCTGTCTAGCTCTGGAGGCAGCTGATAACTGCCAGACGGCCTTGGCTCCCCTCTCTGCCTCCGATGCAGAGCCCTCATCCGAGCCTTCCCCAGACTCCAGGACTGGCCCAGGTTCCTCCCCAGCCTCCTCACTGTCCGACTCTGCTGCCAGCTCGGCTGGCGGGGCCACAACAATGAACTGTTGGAAGTCGAGGACTACCTGTACGTGCAAACAGCAGATCCCAATCTGTGGCTCCTTCCTGCTTCTTCACAGGCGATCAGAAAACCCTCGTCTTCCAGCAAAAAAAAAAAAAAAAAGATAAACAGTTCTGGATTTCCTCACCTCTCCCCGGAATTTCCCGAGATTTTTGACAGAGGGTGATTCCCGCGGCCCAAGTCATCCTCCCCTTCGTCTATCACCAAGGAACGGCCGATTATATCGTCCACCTAAGGAGGGGAAGAAGACAACACCGTCAGCGGACCCAACCTTGTTCCACGACGGTCACAAACAAGATTATCTGTAGGGGACGTCCTCGATTCATGACCACGAAAAGGGATCGGAGATTCATCCTTCAACGGCAAACTGCCTAAGGGAGGAGGCATCATGGGATCCTACCCAATTTTTTTGATGGGTGGACCTGGTCGTTAAGCAAGGGACGTTGGTCATTAAGTAAGATATCACCGGAGTGCGGTTGGCAAACCTTCCCTGCCGGCTTCCATCATTGACTTTGCTTGTCAGAAATGGCGCTCATCGGACCGTGTTATAAATGAACGATGGGGGCTGAGGGCGTAAATCTATAATCGCAGGACTGGAGGGACAGGAGGATGTTCATATGGGTGGGAAGTCACTTTTTGCAGGCTCCTGATGATTAGCCCAAAGTCCCCCAGCCAGCATTCGTGCACTGAGATCTTATGAGACAAATTCCTTGTGTGTCCAATCATTCTGTTCCATTCCGTATTGTATTGTATTGTATTGTATTGTATTGTATTGTATTGTATTGTATTGTATTGTATTGTATTGTATTGTATTGTATTGTATTGTATTGTCTACTAGCTGGATACTTGTGCTTCGCTACGAAACTCTGTGATGGGGTTTGATAAATTGACAGTTAAAGCTTGAAAATTAACAAGTAGTTACGATCGGCCTCTCCTCTCCGCTTCTCTCCTTCAGGCTTGCCCCACAGAATCCTCCCCTATCCTCTCCCCTTCTCTACCCTCAGGCTTTCTAGCTCCTTCTCTCCCTGAGGCTTGTCCCACAGAAATCTGTCCTATGCTATCCCATTCTCTCCAGAGTTATTTTCAAGTTGGGAGCGGGAGTAGAACGTCTTAACTAATTAGCATCAGAGCGTGTGATAATAATATAGGAAATATTAATGCTCTGATGGTCATTTCGAAAAATCCTTTCTTAGTGAGCACCTAGAAGCCAAGAGGAACATATGTGGCAAATTTTAAGTTTGTAGGCTTTACTGTTCTGGAGATTTGATGATTACGACGTGAGTGGTTTTGCTTTTATATATATAGATTCTATTTTCTAGTCTATTCTATATTCCATTCCATTCTATTCTATTTTCTATTCTCTTCTGTTATTGTCCTATCCTATCCTATCCTTATTCTTTTTTTTTTTAATAAAAAGTTTTTTATTTTTCAATTACAAAGATAAAACATTCCATCCTTCCGTAAGCAGCGTATCATCTGGGTACAAGCATCCCTGTGCAACTTCTTTCACCATTTACAACATCATTCACATTATTTCCCTAAACTTAATGTTGTAATATATTAAACAATTAAACATGATAAAATTCTCAATTTTCTTCTTAATATCTTCTAGTAATAATACCGTATTAGCAATAATCACCACTGTTCTCATCATACATGTGCTAACAATTTCCATCTTATTTATATCTCTGCCTTTCTATTTATTCTTTAGCCTTCTTCATTTCCCTATTCTATGGCAGGGCTAGTATTTACCATCTCGTGGAGATTGGCCCACAGTCAGCCAGCCAACTTTCATCCCTAAAGCAGGACTAGAACTGACCATCTTTTGGTGATTGGCCCAAAGGTATCCAGCCTACTTTTTATATCTATGGCGGGACTAGAACTCACAGTCTGCTGGTGATTGGCCCAAAGTCACCCCAGCCAGGTTTCACGCCTAAACTGGAGACTAGAACTTACAGCTTCTACGCTAGTTGCAGAGGATGGGCAGTTTCCAACTTGGGCAAAAGGGGGGAAAAAAATATAACCAGCTGCTGCAAACCCACCCTTCCTGATCCGTTGCCCCCAGTGAGTTCTTTCATCCCCCCCATTTGCTGGGCAATTTCTTTGCTCCAGGGCGACTCACCTTCAGCTGAGGATCTTCCATCCGAAAGGATGCTCTTCCATCAGCAGCGGCCAAGATGTTCCCAAGATCGCCTGCGTGCTGAAAAACCGATTCGGTCCTCAACTTACAGTCACAATTCATAGCAATAACAGAATAACTGTGTTGGAAGGGACCTTGGAGGTCTTCTAGTCCAACCCACTGCTCAAACAGGAAACCTTGTACCATTCCCAGGACAAAATGGCTGCCCAATTAGCTTCTTAAAAACCTCCAGTGTTGGAGCATTCACAACCTAGAAGTCCATACAAGGTTAATAGAGACATACCGTATACTGTATTTCGGAGTATAAAACATTCCGGTGTATATGGCATAGGACGTGGGTATTTGTGGGACCGCCTTCTGCCACCGATAGCCTCCCACCGGCCAGTACGCTCCCACAGAGAAGGACTCCTCAGGGTGCCATCAGCCAGGCAGGGGCCAAAAATGGCAGAAAGGTGTGGGCTGGCGGGTGGGCGGGGCTTCGGCTACATTCAGTGTATGAGACGCACCACAATTTTCACCCACTTTTAAGGGGGGTGGGGAAAGTCTTAGTCTTCGGAGCATCTTATACTCCGAAAAGTACGGTAAAGCAAGAAAAATAAAAAGCAAGCGGTGGCCTAACTCACCCTGTGCAGATCCTGGGGGCCTCCGTGGCATTCCCCTTTGGGATTGAAATGGTCTCCACAACTGTTTAGGATAAAATCAAGAGTGGGAGATTTGGTGGTCAGGAAAACAAAACTTCTCTCCAACTTTTACAACCCCTGAAACCACCTGAAGAGGGAAAAAAAACACCTTCTAGAGCAGGGGTGTCAAAGTGAATTTCACTGAGCGCCACATCAGGGGTGTGTTTGACCTGGGGGGGGGGGGGGGGGCATGGCCAGCTCAACCTCACTTCTGTTGGGGACACCTGCCACTGCGGTGGCCCCCGGCAGAGCTGGGGGGCTCCATTGTCTCCAGCAGAGGAAAGCGAGACCAGGGAGAGCACCAAACCTTTGTCCTAGAGAGGAGGCTTGCTGTCTGCTGGGAACCAAGTGCTAAGGCAGGACTTCCTTCCTTCCTTCCCTATATTTTCCTTCCTTCCTTCTCTATCCTCCCTTCCTTCTCTATATTTTCCCTCCTTCCTTCTCTATCTTTCCTTCCTTCCTTTCCTTCCTTCTCTATATTTTCCCTCCTTCCTTCTCTAACCTCCCTTCCTTCTCTATTTCCCCTCCTTCCTTCTCTCTTTCCTCCTTCCTTCTCTATCTTTCCTTCCTTCCTTCTATCTTTCCTTCTTTCCTTCCTTGCTTCCTTCTTCCTTCTCCTTTTTTCTTCCTCCCCCTCTTTCCTTCTTTTACCTTCCTTGCTCTCTTCCCATCTTCCCTTCTTTTTCATTGTCTTTCCTCTTTCCCCTTCTCCTTTCCTGTCCCTTCTTGGATGCTCAAATGCAAAAGGGGAAACATTTCTCCTTTTGCTAGCCCTCTGACAGTGAAAACGGAGGGCCCCCCAGCCCCTGAGCTCCGTTTTTGGTGGCAGAGAGCTGGAGGAGGCTGTCCAGGCTGAAAACGGGGCCCTCCCAAGCTCCATTTTTGCTGGCAGAGTGTTGTGACCTAGGCTTCCTGAGTCATTAAAACACACGAGTCGTCCCCAAAAACCTCTTTTATTGCAACAGCTGTGAATAATTTTCATTCACAGCTGAGTCCCAATTAGTTGCAAAAAGTCCTTCGGGATAATCACCAATCTTTATCTCCCTTGACACTCTGCCAAAGACCTACTTGGCAAAGCCCCATGGAGTCCAGAATCAAACAGAGATGCCGACTGGGAACAGAATTAACAATGTTGCTTTCCTGCAAAGGGCCCACGTGTACCTTTGCTCCTCTTTTAAGCCTTATGGGAGGGGCCAATCATCTCCAGGCCTTACTCCCGAGTCGTCACTTTTGTTTTAACTGTTCTTGCCTTCTGGAAGTTCTGCGCATGCGCGCACTAGGAAAAGGCTCCTCCTGTTCCTCTGCCTCGCCACTGTCCAACTCTGAAGGCTCCGGAGTCCGCACATCCCTCCCAGATGGTCCTGGCCCCATCTCTGCCTCCGACACAGAGCCCTCGTTTAAGCTTCCCCAGACTCCAGGACTGGCCCATGTTCCTCCCCAGCCTCCTCACTGTCCGACTCCGCTGCCAGCTCCGCAGGCTGCTGGCGGACCACAGCAGAGGCATTGTGGGCCAGTCCTTTGCAGGCCAGATCTAAGCATCCCCCTTGGGCTTGATTTGGCCTGCGATCCTTCAGTTTGACACCCCTGTTCTAGAGATTCTTACCTGTCACAAGTCCGGCTGAGGTCTCCAAATTCATGGACGTGAAGCCCGTGCAGCCCCGGCTGAAGACCATCGACTGTGCCGTCCACAAGACACTTTTCGGGCGAGAGTTGCAGGAACCTCACGACGCCTTGGATCAGTCCACGGCCGGACACCATGGCCACGGCGGCAGTGCCGAGCAATCCTTGGGGGGAAAAAAGGGAGGTCAACAGAGTGTGAAATAGACGTTTGTCGTAGAAAACAATCTAAGTGGCCCTGAGTGAGCTTGGTGGTTTTTTTGCAGACATTTCATCAACTAGTATAGTGTAGCCTTAATTATCATTGTACATTGTGTTTACAACGGAATTGGTTTTAGCCACACTGGTGCAATCCATGACAAAGAATACAAACAACGTACCGTATTTTTCGGAGTATGAGACGCTCCGGACTATAAGACGCACCTACCTTTTTTGGTAAGGAAAATAAGAAAAAGAAATCTGCCTCTGCCTCCCAGCAATTTTGCCTCTTTGTAGCAAACAGCCTGCTTTACTTTCATTTTTGTTTTCAGCATAGCTTGATTAGAGAAGAAAAAAAAATTTGCTCCCAGCAATTTACTTCCTTGCAGCAAGCAGCAGAGCCCTGCGCAAAACAGCTGAGAGCAAAACACCTGAGAATCGGGAGGCCGATCCAATCAACTTGTGCTAATTAGGCTGTGCTGAAGCTGAAAGGAGCTGTTTCTTCTTTCTGATTGCTGCAAGGAGGTAAACTGCTGGGAGGCAGAGGCCAACAGGTGGGGGCCAGTGGGTGGGCGGAGCTACATTCAGTGTATAAGATGCACCTAAATTTTCACCCCCTCTTGGGGGGCTGAAAAAGGTGCATCTTATACTCTGAAAAATACAGTAAATAGTATAAAGAATAATCCCTATGAAAGTAATTAGACAGAAAGAAAGAAAAAGAAAAACTAGTCATACGTTTCCGCTTGTGCGTGGAGTGATTGTGGTTGTGTTTAAGAGTCTGACGGTCCAAGGATAGAAACTATTTTTAAACCTATTTGTTCGGCTGGCTATGCTTCGATGTCTTCTCCCAATGGTAGAAGTGCGAAGAGACACTGACCAAGATGTGAATCATCTCTGAGTATCTTCCTTAGTCTGCTAAAGCAGTGAGGGTGGGGAAGGCTGTTTTCGCCCTCCCCAGACTCCTAGAAAGGCTCTGGAGCCAGGTGAGAGAGAAAAAATGGCCTACCGGGCCATGGCGAGCCAGGAGCGGGGGGGGGGTTGTTGGGGGTCACGTGTGCATGCACGGGGCGCATAGAATTATGGGTTTGGGCACACGGGTGACCCCAGCGCCTCCTGGCACGCAATGGCAAAAAGGTTACCCATCACTGTCCTAGTGGATTGTCCTGTCAGTGGGAATGATCTTGGAAGTTCTGTGCTTAGGCTTTTTACTCAGAGGTGGGCGTCACATACCGTAATAACCGGTTCACTCAGCACCAGAAATGTCAGCGCGTGCCATCCGCACATGCATGCAGCGTCACAAAACACGGGAAATCACATTCCCGCGCCATCCAGGCATGCATCCGGCGTCAAACGACACAGCGATATAGGACAGGATTACGCCTAGGCGGGTGGGAGGGCCCACCTGCAGGTCGCAAGTACCGGTTTGCCCGAACCGGCAGCAGCCCAACACTGTTTTTACTGTTAGCTTGTTTGTCAGTTCCTTGCTGGCTGAAGAATTCTGGAAGTTGAAGAACCACATATCTTAAAGTTGCCACGGTTCAGAAACGCTGATCCAGATAACGTAGCAGATCTCTAGGGAAGGGTTTATGGCTGATCCCATCAGTTCTAGGGACAATGCTTTAAACCCATCAGAAATCTTCCAACGATTCCCCTCCACTTCTGTTGTGGTTCGCCAGCAGCCTGCGGAGCTGGCAGCGGAGTCAGACAGTGAGGAGGCTGAGGAAGAACATGGGCCAGTCCTGGAGGCTGGGGAAGGCCCGGATGAGGGCTCTGTGTTGGAGGCAAAGATGGGGCCGGGGCCATTGGGGAGTGATATGCAGACTCCGGAGCCTCCAGAGGCTGACAGCAGAGAGGCAGAGGAACAGGAGGAGCCTGTTCCTAGTGCACGCATGAGAAGAGCTGCCAGAAGGCAGGAGCAGCTAAAGCAGAGAGGACGACTCGGAAGTAGGGCCAAGAGATGTCTGGCCCCTCCCATAAGGCTTAAAAGACCAGCAACGGCTCTTGGGCTCTTTGTCGGAAAACAACGTTGATAGTCTTGCTGCCCTTATCTCTTATCGGTGTCTTCTGCTTTTGAACTTTTGCCAAGAGAAGCCTTTGGCAGTTTGCCTAATTATACCAAGGTTGGTGATTAGACTGAAGAATTTGTGTTATGAAGAGTTTGTTTTAATTTAGTTTGGACGATGCTGAGAATGAGTTAATTCTCAGCTATTCTAATAAAGTCTGTTTGTTTTGGAACCGTTTGCGTCGATTACAACCTACTTGGGCCTGGGTCACAAGAACTTTGCACTAGTCACTTGTGGGGGGGAAAGACCTTGTACATCACAGAGCGATTTAACACCTTTGGTGGAGATTTATTCCAGAAAAAGGAAGTGGAAGATCGTGTTGGGATTTACCTGGAACATTACTTCCCATTCCTTTCAGCACAGCCTTGCGTCCCGTAGTTTCTAAAAGGTTCTGGACTTCTTCGGTACCAAGACTTGTTTCCACCAGGACAGTTTGGGAATCCAACTGGATGTCAACTATGCGGAGGCCTGTAAGGAAATGGAGATAGAGAAACACGTAGGGGTAGGGCATCCCAATCTTGGCAATGTGAAGACATGTGGACTTCAACTCCCAGAATTCCCCAGCTGGCTGCATAGCAGCTTGCTAGGGAATTCTGGGAGTTGACATCCACACATCTTCACGTTGCCAAGATTGGGACACACTCATGTTAAGCAATTTTATATATCCCACGTTTATTATTTGGTTCTGCAACCCAACAAGACAGACAAAGACTTCAGAGGATCATTAGAACTGCAGAAGAAACAATGGCTACCAACCTGCCTTCCATTGAGGACCTGTATACTGCACGAGTCAAAAAGAGGGCTGGGAAAATATCTACAGACCCTTCACATCCTGGATATAAACTGTTTCAACTCCTATCCTCAAAACGACGTTATAGAGCACTACACACCAGAACAACATGCAATAATCATCCTGAAGCTTGATTGTGGGGGCAGTAAGATGACTTTGTATAAAAAAGAACACCGCTTGGGGGGGGGGGGGCGAAAGCCCTACTAAGCAGGTATATACAAAAATATGAAGGCTATTGCTTAACGCATTATAAGCCGCCCTGAGTCTCCGGAGAAGGGCGGCATATAAATCGAACCAATAAATCAATAAATAATAAATAAATCTGAGAAAAGCCTGAGCTGGTTACATCACCCTGCCGAGCAATTCATGAAAATAATTTTGCATCTGGAACAAGGCTTCCAATAATTAATGGATTTAGAGTTTTTTTCCCCCAAAAAAATTTGGTGCTCTGTATTGGCTGAGTATTCCAGGAGTCCTTCCTACTCAGCCAGAAAACAACTAGATGGAAAACTGAGTTTCCTTTCTGACACACTCTTTTGACATCTATGGAATTTCAGTAGGTAAAATGAAGTGATGAGGAAGTAAATTATTGGGTAGAAACCAGGTGACTAATTCTATTTTAGGTATGAAAACCAGTTCTAGTTTTGCCTTAAGCCACGAAACTGGCTGCTGTGTCTTTGGGCCAGTCACTCTCCCTCAGCAAAACCCACCTCACAGGGGGAAAACAGGAAGAGGAAGGAAGGAGGAGGAAGGGTGTGTTGGATATGCTCACCACATTGCGTTATTTATAAATTATGATATTTATATCATAATTTATAAATTATAGAAATTTATAATATAAAATAAAATAAACGTTTGAAAAGAAAGCTGATCGTTCTGAGGCTGATCTCACCTGGTGTCTTTTGCAGTGTTTTCTGGACCGCCTCGACACAATTTTGACAAGTCATCTCGACAGCAAACTCCAGCTACAATTAAAGAGAAGGAGAAAGTAACACAAAACTGTCAGTGAAAAATATAAAAGCCTTTGAATTATGGGCTCGCCTGACATATATAAGCGGAACCCTTCTGGGAGTTGGAAGCCTAAATGCTATTTTAATGGGTGGTTTCTATTTTAGCTCTTTCGGCCAAATTATTTAATATTTTTAAATTCTCTTTTAACTTTCATATAGTTGTGGGTTTTATTTTTGGCTGTACACGGCCCTGAGTCCTTCAGGAGAAGGGCGGTATAAAAATTTAATAAAATAAATAAATAAATAAATAAGCCCACATATCTTAAAGCTGCCAAAGTTGAGAAATACTGACCTAATTCCAAAATTCTGATCTAAAATGAGGTTCCACAGGAAGTCTGGAAGGGCAGGGGCCTTTTCTCCTGCACTTGCCATACTTCTGCCTACCCCATACAAGTAGTCCTCGAATTACGACCAGGGTCCCCAAAATCTCGGTGGCTAAGCAAGACATTGGTTAAGTGAGTTTTGCCCTATTTTGCGACCTTCCTCGCCACCACTGTGGAGTGAATCCCCGCCGTTATTAAATTATTATCACGGCTGTAAAGTGAATCTGGGTTTCCGCGTTGACTTTTGCTTTTGTGAGGAGGTCACAAAAGGGGGATCGTGCGACCCACCGTTGTAAATACGAGTCAGTTGCCAAGCCTCTGATGGCGATGCGGCAACGGTCATTAAAAGTGTTTTTTAAAAAAACCGCCATAAGTCACTTTTTTTTAGTGCCCTTGTAACGGTCACTAAATGAACCGTTCTAAGTCGAGGACTAGCTGTACTTCTTCCCTCAGCCATAAGATATAAGCGCCCTCCCTGCCTCCCTGGAGATGGAGAAGGTGCCATTTTTTAAAGAATGACCCAGCAGTTAGTTCAACCGGTGCAGCTGCTTTACAAAACGACCCCCCCACACACCCGCCTTCAACCTCTTCGGACATGCGCAAAGCGTCGGACAGTGAAGGAAGAGGCAGCGCTCGATTCTCCCACCCGGGAAGGGTTCCCCCACCGTGCAGCGGAGTCCTCCGCCTCTTTCGGGAGCTCCGTCCATCTTGCCTTCCAAGAATAAAAAGGAAAAAACAAAATTATAGTCTACCCGGACTATTTTGAAGGAGACACACCGGAAGTCCTCGACGCGCTCCCTCCCGCTTGGTTGTACGAAGCGGACATGCGCAGTAGAAACCGAGAGCGGAACTCGGGCGCCGCGGCGTAAACATTCCGCCCGGACGACTATGGGCGCAGGACCGCTCGGTTGTCAAGGCGACCGAATCGAAAGCGGGGCCTGTAGCGGCGGTTGGTATATATATATATATATTTTTCGCGCCATGGCGTCGAGCGTGTCGCCTCCCGGGCGGTCGCTGTACCGGCTGGAAGACACGGGAAAATGGACGCACCAGCTGCGGGAGCAGTACCGTCGCATCCTGACGCCGCTGTCGCTCTTCCCCACCACTTTTTCCCGAGTCAAGCCTTGCCTGTCAGGCTCTTCTCTTGGGCCGCCAGAGGAGGAGGAGCTGCCGGTGCCCATCACGCTCTCGGCCCTGATGCACCTGGTGAAGGCCCGGTTGGAGCCGGGGCCTCAGGAAGCCCGAGCCCGCCCTCAACACCTGAGGGCCTTCAGAGACATCATCCTGACCCAAATCAAGCAGGCCCACAAAGACCTCCAGCACCTGCTGCACGACCCGGCCTTCAGCCCTGACGCCAACCGGGAGCTGTACCAGCACCTCTTGAGCTACCTCGGCTTGGTGTCCCAGCACCTTTTCCACCACTATTTGGGCCTCATGGAGTGCTGCCGGCTGCGGCGCGTCTTCACCGATTGTGCCAACCTCATCCGCTTCTCGGCCCAGCTGGCCTTGGATTGCTCCAAGTTCCTCAACGTGGTGGCCGTGCGCCAGCGCCTGGTGTGGGAGATGAAGAGGCTGGCGGACCACCCGCCCGATTCGCCAACCAAATCCTCCAGCCCTTTTGGCCCCATGACCACCCATTCCCTGGGCAACCGCCTGGGCATCACCATCTGCTACTTCATCAGATACATCCGGCCCCGTACACTGACGGAGAAGGAAAAAATAGCCCAGGATGTGAAAGAGCTGGAAGAGTTACCCTTGCTGGACATGAGCAAAATAAAGAAATTGAATCTACCCACGGCCAGGAAAACTGATTTCCTGCAGCAAATGGCCGTCGCCGCCATCGCCGCTCCTTCTCCCCGTGGATCCGTACGCAACTGGTCTAGGCCTCAGATTATACCGGCGACTTCCCATCTTCTCAAGTGCCAGTCTTTGCCCAATATGCGGGTAGGGAAGCTTTTAGCCGATGAACTCGGCATCCATTTGATCTCTCGCCGGATTAGCCCTGAACTGCTTTGTCGCTGCCCCGAATCCCCCGAACCTGGCGAACTAAAGGGTCCAGCAGCTCTGGCTGAAGACCTTCAGAGGCTGGTCCGGGGTTCTGTCTTGGAGAAGACTCCGTGGAAAGGCGAGCAAGACGATTTAGATCTCCCTCCCCTCATTAAAGCGTTGACGTGGACCAAAGCCAACGAGAACCGCCAGCTACAGTTGCAGAGAATGCTCAAGTCCCTGGGCGAGGAAGAGCGTTTTGAGACGAAGCGGAGAAACACCATCATCGCCGCCCCGGCCTCTCATCCTCAGGCTGCGACGGTGAATGTCAGAATCAATGATAGGATGGTGGTAAAGACAGCTGATCTGCAGGTGTCTGAAAGGCACTATTTGGAAAATGTGATGATGGATAGGTCTTTACCAATCTACAATCACCTCCTGGGAGAGATAAGTCCTGCTACCATGAAGATGCTGGACGCCAAGCTTTCTACTGGAGAAGAAGTCCAGGAGATCTACAGGGAACTGATGAATACAATTCCTAAAGACCACCTGAAATTTGACCAAGGATCCTTGATAGAGTGTCCTGCAACTATCCTGCCTCGCTACTGCTGTTTTGCTTCCTCAACACTGTCGAAGAGAAAAAGTGAACAGATTGTTAATACGGAGCTGAGTCAAATTCTCCCAACTGGGCCCTTCGTCCCAATTGAAGTGGTTGAGGCATCCCACGCCCCAAATCTATCCAAGAAGAAGCTAGCTTCAAAAGAATATGCATCTTGGCTCAAATGGTGGAAAGCCACATTTAACATCGACGAGTACTTGAAATACATCAGCAGCAACACCGCCGACTATCTGCCGGTTATATTTCATTTGTACAACCCTGAAGAAGATGATAAAGACGGGAAGGAGAGAGACATGCAGGCAATGTTAAACGAGGATGAAGTGAAGAAACAGAAAGTGAAGAGGAAACAGCTAAAAACAGCCGAGCTTCAGTCCCAGAAAGAACTATTCCACACCGGACTGTGGAATATCAGCAGCACCTGGTTGGAGGACCTGGGAAGTTCTACTAGTGACCACAGGTTTGAAGATCGCAATGTCCTACAAAGGAGATTGGAAAGACTATGGACCGTCCTTCATTTCTCCGAACGGGAAAGGCTAGATATGGCCATCAAGTACAGCTCCAACCAGTACTATTTACTGCTTCCAGATATGCTGAATTCTTGGGAAGTCGCTGCCCAGTTTATTCAGGATAGGGAGCTCCTGCTGGCTGAAATAGAAGAGTTTGAGCAAACTGCTTCAGATCCTAACCGCTTGTTCAGCAAGGAGCTCGGCTCGTTCGCCAACAGAACGCAAGAGTCAAACATCAGAAGCCACTTGTATTCCGAGTTGGACCAGTACAATTTCGAACTCCGCGTGATTCTGAAACACATCAGTGATGCCTTCAACGATACGGTGACTTTCAAGGGTCGCCCGTACGAAGGTAAAATGGAGAGGGACATCGTAGAGATGCTTTACTGGCTGCAACAGGAGCGTCGGGCCGTAGTTTTGAGTAAGGCGGTCCAGAGGAGCTCGGGAAGGCTTTCTCCTCTTTTTTAGATTGGCTTCATTAACTGCTGCCTTGGAAGCACACTTGGACAACGCTTTCGCAACTGTGTCCAGATCCCATCCTCCGTTATGCCCCCCACCCCGAGTTTAGGAGGCCAAGAACAATAGAGGCAGCATCAGTTAAAATCAGTTTAATGGAAAAGTGAAACAGGTTTTTCGTTAGGTTCAAGGATGAGCTGGTAATACATAGATTAGACAGTTGATGGTTGGGGTCAAAGCCGACACCCTGCAAAGTATCCCAGGAAGAATAGCAAAATGGCAGTTGGGTGCTTGTAAGCTTTGTTTTCTTTGTCAATATGTATGCCAATTTGTAACTGTTGAGTAGTTTTGTCTTTCATTAAAAACATATTTCTGGTCCTCATGATTTTAAAGCAGTGGCCACTTTTTTAAGCAGTACCAAAGGTAGATATGGCTTAGATACCCATATTGGGTGGGCCAGGTCTGAAGCTAAACTGATTTTTCCCTTCGAAAATAGACATTTTGGAGAAATCTTCACATGTGCAGAAACTGAGGGACAAAACCAGAGGCAGGAGCTCAAATCTAGTTTGTGCAGTTTGAAATAAGAAATAAGAGCTTACATTCTTTTCCTGTCTTAAAAAAAAACCCTGAAAAAGCCTAATTCTGAATGGAAATGAATCCTAAGCCAGGAAAATAAACTTTTGAGCTTCTGGCTCTTGAAAAGGACTGCATTCCTCCCGGCAGCCCCTTCTACTTGGATGCAAAATTGCAAAGCGTGCCGATAATAGGCAAGCTCGTCCTTTCAAACCCGAATTGCACAACGCAGACACTTTCAAGGATCTGTTACAAATGTTTTATTTTACTGGAGAAGGGAAAATAAGGAGAGAAATGTCAACTTCAAAAGAACTAAAAGTCACAGGTTAATAATAATATCCATAGCAAAAGGAAAGCTTTCTACAGTCCAAACGCAGGCAGCTACCAAATATGACAATGTCTTCTCATAATAAAAAACAAAACAAAAAAAGGAAGTGGATCAGCTAGAATTATTTAATTCCAAAATCGAGCCTACACAAGGGAGGAGAAATTGCAAATCGAACTGGAACGAATTGGTCCAAAGTTATCCTTCGAAGGCCACATATTTGTCTCTAGTTTATTCTGTGGGTCCCTCTGTCTATGCTCAAAGTCCAGGCTTAGACAGAGTTCGACCAAAGCCCAGGGCACAAGGTCAGTTATCAACAACAACCTCTCCCCACTTCCCACAGCCCTGCCCTCCCCTCTTCCAAATAATGCTTGGGGGGGGGACGACTTTTGTGTAGTTGTTTTATTTTGGTTTGGTTTTTTTTGAAAAAAGTGAACAGGGACTGTTAGTTGTCACTAAGCTTCGCAGAGACACAATGTCCATTAGTGAGACCATGCTAAACACAAAATCGACACATCGTGAAGCCTGGCATAACTTTGACGTGAACGCGCCGCAGGAGCCCGATGTCCAGCCCTCAAATAGCCTACCTGAAAAATAAAAGACACAGTTCATTTGCAGGTTCAGTGCTGGGGGGCTGCCTAGAAAAACAAACGAAAAAAAAGCACTTCCGTGGCTGAGCCCACCCCACCTTCCTTAGAGCAGGGGGTCTTCCGACCTCGGCCACTTTTCAGACTTGATGTCAACTCCAAGAATTCCCCAGCCAGTGAGGGCCAAGGTTGGAGTTTCTGCACTTGGAGCATTAACTCAACCGGGAAGTTAAGGGGGACGTGTATTTGATTGCAAAATGTCCCCTCCTATGTTAGATGCTTCCAGGGTCTTCAGAAAGGTTGGTGGTGTCCACAAGCTGGAACAGATCTAAGGCTGGGATCCATTTGGTCAGATTGCTAACGATCTTGTTTGCCACACTGGCAGCGGTTTTCTGATGTTTTGTGTTAAACAAATGTCGTTCTTACTGCTTTCTCCCTGATTCTTTTCATTGGAAATATTGGCCCTGTCCCATTTTACGACATTTGACCTGGCTGCTAAATGAATCACCATCATTGTTAAAACATGCGAGCGTCAAACTAACCTGGCTTTCCCATTGACTCTACCTGTCAAAAGCTTCCTAAGAAGGTCCCAGATGACAATTCCAGGGTGGTGCCAACAACCATCGTAAACACATGTTTACTCTGGTTATTAAATGAATGGCGGTAAATTAAGGACTAATCGTGGTTAATTTTTCACCAAAAATGCACAAGAATCAGAAAACCTTGATCATTCGGGGCAAGTCAAAGGGAACCAGTGGGATATTCAACACTGGCTACTCACTTTCCCCAACCTTCACAGCGCACAAAATTACATTTTTGGATGAATGTCAGTATACCGATGGCTCCTCTCAGGGAGACGGATATTAGGGGGCAGTCAGTGAAAATGCTGCAGGAAAAGGAATTCCACCCTTTGGAACTGTTGGGAAAGGACTGCAAATAAACATTTCATATTAGACATCTGTTGCTTGGTCATAGGAAGGATGCGTACAATTGCTCCAGTTGCCTCTTACGTGAAAGGCCACCAAATCCCTGGAAGAAAGTGCAGCTGAGAATTTCTGAAGGCATGAGAATAACTAGAATGTTGTTCTATTTTTTAAAAAAAAATGTTTTTTTTTAAAAAAAACAGAAATGATGAACCATTTGGAAGAAGAAAAGAATATTATCTTTCAGGAGAATTCAACCTGAGGGAGGAGGGGGGTGTCACCCAGTGAAAAGAAATCAGGGGCTTAAGGATAGGACAAAAACCCAGCAATTGCATCATATCGAAAGGAATTACCTTATTTTTCCGAGTATAAGACGTACTTTTTCCCCCAATAAGAGGGTGAAAATTTGGGTGCGTCTTATATACCGAATGTAGCCCTGTCCACTTGCCAGTTCCCCCCGGAAAATGGGGTGCGTGGCTATGGCAATCCCTGCAGCCTGAAACAGCTGATCTTCGGGAGGCCGATCCAACCAACAATTAGCTGCTTGTGTTAATCAGGCTGTGCTGAATCTGAAATTGAAACAGGCCGTTTGCTGCAAGGAGGCAAATTGCTGGGAGGTACACGCAGATTTTTTTTTCTTGTTTTGCTCCCCCAAAAAGGTGGATGCGTCTTATAGTCCTGAGTGTCTTACACTCTGAAAAATACGGTACTCCACCAGAATCTGTGCTGGGGCCCACAAGCATCCATGAATTTTTAAGAATTAGGACATGTTTACAGAGGGGGGCTGGCTGGTGCTAGCAACTTATTATCCACAGTGACGAAAGGAAGATGTCCACAAATAATTTCATGGATGGGAATTGCGCTTCTGTTCGTATAGCACCTGGTTCAGGTGGGGCTCAAGAGACTACACATTGGGGCATCTTGTGTAATCCAAACTTGCTCTTCAATTTCCAAGCAGCTTTGGTTAAAAGCCGCTCCATCTCCTGTTGGTCGGGGTGCGGCCGCTGCACCAAAATTTCACGTTTTAGGGTGCATAGCGGGAAAAAGGCAAGGAGGACTTCCAAAATCCTGGGAGCAGAGTGCAATATATGGAGCCATGGGAACAGAAGAGGAAGGAGGAAAAAAAAAACGGGACAAGCTTAGACAGGATTTTAGGAATAAAACAGCGGAATCCACTGCTCTCGGGCAAGACCTCCCTCAATCTGACTGTAACAAAGCACACAAGTAAGGAGGAACAAATATTCAGGGCAACTCTGAAATGGCCAGAGATTGGTGGTTCCCAGGAGTAAATCCTTTGTACCAGAAGCAATTTGATATGTCCTGGACATGGCATGTGGGTTTGGGAGCCAATTTATCCCTGGGATACTCTGAACCACTTTCATTTTGGAAGATTGCAGAACCAGGTTTATAGCAAGCTGACATTCTTAATTGGTGTGTTTTGCCCTGGTCTATGCTGGTCTCTCTTGGTTTCATCTCCCCCACCAAGCAGCTTGGTCTGTTCCTCGGCTGCTGCGGCTTAAAAGCTGCAGATACCAGCAGGTATCCTCCAAAGACCCACCCAGCCGCAGGCCGGTATCCTCCATCTCACCAGCAGCGACACCGATGTGCCGTCCCCCTCCTCCTCCTCCAAACTGATGAAAAAAACGCGCTCACCTCGAGAGTCAATACGCGGAGTATCGCAACCTGTCCGCGCCTGCATCCCGCCCGAAACGCTGGACATCGTAGAGAGAGGATCGCGGGACGGGAGACAGCTGAACGCGCTCGTATCCGTACACGTCTCCAGCGGTGGAAGCCGCAGCGGCCGAGCGACGCAGAGGGCTTCTATCCCGGGTGTAAAAGGACGACGTCGCGGCCACAGCAGCGACGGCTACCGCGGCTGCAGTTCCCGAGGTTGGCATCAGCGGCCTCTCGTAGGGGTCTAAGGAGGTAGAGAGGCGACTGGCCATGGCTGTGGCTTGCGAGTACTGGGCGTACTGGGAATACTGGGCCATGGTTTGCTCCGCATAAGTGTCGTATGCAGAAGCCCCATAGGCCGCAGCGTTTCTCGCGCGATACCGTTTATAATAATCCACCATTCCATAGGGGTCATCGTAATACATGGGATCCCCGTAGCCTGTAGGGTACGGGGTGCGCACCATTCCGTATTGCTCGCTATAAGGTTCGGTCAACTCAGCCACTTGCCCCGTGCGGTCTACCGGGCACTCTTTAGACCAGTGACCCTCCTTCCCACACCGGTAGCAGCCACTCTTGTCTCCCATCCCGGGCGGTCCTGAGACGGCTGGTGGACAACTGCACGCGCATTTCGTTTGCCTTGAAGAAACAGACGCAAGAAGGGCAGCTATAAAGATTTGTTAAAGACAATTCAAAGCAAAAGCACAGCAGCTCAGAATTATTTTTATATTAAAAAAAAAAAGAGCTAACAAACCAGAAATCACCGGCTGTGACTCAGTGGGTCAAAGAGGGAAGCCAACAGCTGTTCGAGGACACAATGCCTCTTTTGGTCCAGAGCGACCAGCGAGTTATACTCAGGAAATGGAAGCATTTTGGCAGTGAGAACCCGATTCTGCCCTCTTTTATGGTATGTTTCAATCGTCTCCCCAATTTGATGCTGGCCACTAAGCCCCGAAAATATTTTGGCAGGCCCGCAAAGCAGATAAGTGGATTGCAAATCAAAACCCGAGAATCTTGCTGACCAGAACATGAAATGCGATTTATTTCCAAGACATCTATGGGGGGGGGGGGTCATGCAGCTTCCCGTGTTTTCTAGGTCTCCGAAACAATCAGATTTGCTGAATTCTAAATTAATGGTTTTTATACTTAAGCTAAAAGCTAAACCATTTTGAGGTTTATTTCTCACTGACACAGCAGTCTGTTCTGTTCTTCCTTCCTTCTCCAGTTTGACTCTTCAGGAGGCATGGCTGTGCCCTGATCTTACTCGTTTGCAGACACACTTTCCCTTTATTCAGTGGAACGGTCC